TAGGTTGTGGCTTAGGGTTGGCAAGGGCCTACTAAAGTGTTGTGTGAGAAGAGATATCTGGCCTGCCAATCCTTTGTGTTTTAAATTCTCATTTTTCTGGATCTGTGATATGAAATACGAGATTTAGCACAATCCTACTTCTCTTAGGATGGATAGAAAGAAAGTAAAGTAATTGAATATGGGCACATAAGAAAGTCTTAAGAGCACATCACTTAATACTAAATGAATGTGGAGGTGGTACAGAAGTAATAAAATAACTAAGTTTGACCAGCCACAGTTTCATAAGCAAAATTCAACTCAGTTTTCTTGATCGAGGTTTTTTCTTCATATAAATAGAGAGGATGAGTTTAATTAATATTCAAAAAGGATTGAAAAGTTTAGTAGCTGTTTAGTTTATCCCTTAGAACTTTGAAGGACTGCAAAAGTATGTGAAACAGCGAAATGTGGTTTGCAGTAGTTGATGATTTGACATGAGTTTGTGTCTTATGCCTTCGACAGATATGAAGGAGCCAAATTAATAACCGGACGCAGGAACGAAAAGTATTTTATGAACAGCTCATTTCATACCTCAAGCTGCATACATTTATTCAGAAAACTTTGTGCAGGTTTGTTTCAGTGTTGAATGCAGTCTTGTCATGGAGTGAACGAGTAATCTGTTCTGTTTTTGATACCATTCATCACTCTTGCCGGACGATGCCTGCTCAATACTGAAGATGTCGCTATGCGTGTAACTCGAAGAAATGCTAACTAAAGATGAGTCATTAAAGAGAACGAAGAAATCCCGAGCTTCTCCGAATCAAAGATAAAACTACGTTTGCTTAAGCTAAAAACGAAATTCAAAGAGATGGGCAAAAAACTGTACCTGGCTGCGTAGCGTTCATGATCTGGTTGGCGAAGCAGCGCGGCACAGGGATTGGGGGGTCTTTCGCGAAGAGGGCGTATGCGAGGCATTCGACGTTGTGCGCCCTTCGAATGAGTGTAGAAATCCGAATCGGTTGCGAAGCCTCATGGTCCTTGGAAGGCATGGCGACCTTGACGATGATGCTGGTCGGAAACTCGTGGTCGAGCGGCTCATCGGGCCATCGCAGTCGGACGCGGCTGATACTGGACAACGGTCGTTTCATGCTGTCCACGGGGCTGACGCTGACGCACCTAACGTCACCCATCGGTCGCAGGGTATCCTGCACGACCATCTCCAGGGCAAACCTGTCCCTGTTGCTGTCCTGCGCCGTTACGTAGTCGGGTGCTGTAGCGTAAGAGTCGCTGCTGCCGCCGCAAATGCTCACGTTCATGCCTAACGCATACACACACTGTTTGCCTAACGAACATCCGTGATCGTAGTTAGTGCATGAGCGACTTACCGTAGGCGTTATGTTCCGGTATATGCACGCGCGCAAATGAGAAGAACACGCAGCCGTGCAAATACACTACTTTGTCGTCACAAACCCAGAAGTCCCTACTCGCAGAGGCCAGTGCTGCGGACGGCCAGTCACTCACAGATCCTTTAGGTATCGCATCGTCGAAATGGGTTATCAGCGCACAGTTTTTTCCGGCCATCCACACACCACGCTTGAGTAATTCCGAACGAGTACATCAGTCAGCCTGAATGTTCAGTCGGATACGCAGAAACTTCACCTGACTGTGAACGTGGATCGTATATATTCCTTGGCAGTAACTCGTTCCCTCATTTCTTCCACTAATCAGCCGTTGAATGCCGCCTATCGCTCACTGGCGGCCAATAACGATTAAAATGTTCACGCGTTACTATGCTCCAATGGTAAAGTAAAGCATTTGCCAGATAGATCAGACTGGGCGGTGACCCGTTTATACTAATAGTTTTTTTTTACCGTTGGTCATAAGAAAGTGACAGTCGCTGTCACATCGCTACATGTACTGCGCACCTGAAATCTGGCGGTAATACTAAGTCGTTTGAACAACTGTTGGCGGCTTTCTTGCTATCGACGCGATATCTCACCACATCGAATCACAGCAGGCGATATTATTTCATCAGAGGTTAAAATAACCTAACCTTAAAATCCGTATCTGGCCGTGTGGTCGAAAATGCATCGGTTCGATTCGCGAGTAGGGCAACTTCTTTTTTATCCTTCCAGGGTTAACCGGTGTGTTTTTTTTTATTGTGATCATCACTTTGAGCATTAAGGAAACGTCTGTTGCTTATGTGTTTCGACGTTGTTGTCATGAGTCATGTGTTACTGCATGGTAGAGGGAACAGTTCTTCTCCTCTGAAAGTAAATCTCTGTAGTTTGTTCATCCACGCTAAATGCTTTCGAGCAAGTTGTTGCAGGTTTATGCTCAGCCATCCTGCATATCGACCATGTTTTTATAATCTTCGTATCTACTTAGTTAATCTGTGCCCAGATGCGATTGGAGTCATTTCTTGTGTTTTAGCCCTCATTATGCTTTGTAGCCAACGTTGCTGGACTCGTTCTTGCTTTTTTAATAAAAAACTGTTACCCAAGTTAAAGGCCAGTTTTGCAAGCGGCCCAAGTACACCAATGAATAACGTTAAGTAAAGTGGAAGAATAATTGCACGTAATGCAGGGGTCAAAATGGCCTTTGGATAATTCAAGCACCCAATATTCTCAAAGAGAATTGCATTAGCACCGCACCAGAAGCTACACAAAAATGAGGTATTACCAATCATAGAAATATGGCCAACGGCGACAGTCTTTCGTTCTTTCATCCTACTATCTTACTTCTTGACTGAAATAAGAGTGCTCTCATACTGCTAAAGATCATCAGATTATTTTGCTTATCACTCTGTAGTTTCACTTTTTCCTGCATACCTATGTTATGTGTGGTCCTGTATTTATAAAATTACATACGTAATTCTGCGTATGTGCGGAAGCGTGCTTTTTCATACTGAAAGAAAACGTATAAGGGGAATGAGTGATCAGACATAAACGGAAGTTCAGAGGATGGTAATCAACGTTATTAAACATCTCAGGGTATCAGTCAGATTCTTGTTGTCTTCACTTGTACCATTTTCTGATACACTTGCCCTAAGTTGCGACCCATTCGCTCGGTTACTGTCATGATTTGCAGCGAGAATGATTAGCTGATAGCGGTAAGTAATAATCGTAATAATCAATGTGCGCGATTAAATATTACACCACCAAAAAGCGGTAGTTTCCGATGAGGTTTAAAATTTGACTTCCTTTATATCATGAATCAACTCTGTCATACTCCGACTTTCACACCGCGAAAGCATTGCATGCTACTGTGATCTAAATTGGTTTCTCCTCAATCGTTAAAACGAAAATATTATTAACTTATGGGATGTCGATCTCTCCTGATATTTCGTGATGGACACCATATGAGATCCCGTTCTTTTCAAGGAAAGTATAATATGTCGCTAACCTCCTTTTCCGTGTCGTTAGTGCAGAATTGCTTATTTGAAATGCAAGGCCTACAGCAGTGTGATATATTTTTTAGGGACGAGCTAACGAATTTAGAGACAAGTTAGATTCTTGTTCTCTGTCATACTAAGTGGCGCTCAGTTATCTACTTTGAAAGGATGCAGCCGTTGCTTCACTCGATTCCGCAATCTTTCGACAATGAATTCAACGCTCCATTAATTCAGCTATCTCCCTAAAAATTT